ATGTCTCTTGTCTGGCAGAATTCTGCGATGCAGAATTATTCTTGTGAGTATCTGTGAACCAACTACCCCACCCCCCTGTGAACCTCCTTCTGGTAGCCAAGCATGGTTCAAGAATTATATATATGTATATATGTTGGAATCTCAAGTGGAATTAGGTTGCCCTTGTTTGGCCTCGTTAAAATTATAATTCATTTTCTTCTATTTTTTTATTAACTATACATTTTTCAAATAAAATAATATTACACGTAAACTCAGGAATTTTTTTTTTAACCACACATTCTTCAAAAAAATATTATTCCAAACATTAAAATGGCAAATAATGGAGGCCAAACGGGTAAAATTGTTAATTTATGAAGTATCCGTCGGTGTGAACAAGACTATACCTCAAAAAGAAAAAAAGTTGAAATATTTTTCGCAACTTACTTAAAAGTATGCAAATTTTTATTTATCCCCTCTAACTTTTACTTTCTACAATTCTACGTATGCATTAATACTTGAGAAATTGAATACACGTTTAGAGAATGAGTTAAAAGAGATGACTTTACTCTTGCGGTATTGGCTATCTGTTGATTTTTACTTTAATTATAATATATAATTCGATTATCCAGTACTATACGAAAAATATTTTTTGTAGCTAACTTCTTTGTATTGTACATGATTGCATGATCAAAATTGGAATAGGGCTTTATTTTGTCATTATCTCTATATAATGAGTTAAGAAATTTCTATTGATTTCAAATTTATTTTTAAGAAATATTAGGTACTATCTTACAACAGAAAAAAAGAATAATTTATATATTCAAAATATAAATTAATAAATTTATTATAAATAATCAGGCTTTAGAAAAGGACAACGGCCTTTCTGAAAATATTATATAACATAAATTGATATGATGGTGAGTGGATGGACAATTATTTATGTATTTTCCTTCGTTTCTTATTTTCTTTATATTAATATTTTGTCACCGTTTTATTTTTATAATTTATATTATCCTCGCAAAACAAAATTGCTTAATAAAAATATTGTACATTACATTAGGTATTAGATAAGAACAATGGAAATAAGCATTAATTAATAAGATGGTGAGTGAGTGGACAATTATTTATCTATTTATTCTATAGTGACCATAATCATATTGTTTATATTATTT